CATACCACACAACTTGGGTCTATGAGTTATAATCCATCCCAATGGTCCATATATTAAACCAACCATTCATATAGTATCACTTAACCACCAAAACCATTTATTAGCCATCACTAGGCTAATTTTCAATTTATATAATTTTTAATCAATTAAAAACCTTCACCTAGTGTCACCAACTTTCACCATTAGCCCTTATAATGAAAATCAAACTTTAATTTAAATCTTATTGGGCTCAAATAGCAAAATTATAACTAAATCAATAGGTTTAAACCATTGAGGAGCAAAACCCAATCTCTTATGGTTTAATTTGTGCCCAAAATATTTCTTTTTATCCAATTATCCACTCAAAATATTAGATTACTATATAAAAACTCAAAACATCCTCCCTAGGCTTCAAAGAAACAAAAGCTTACAAGAATAAAACCTTTGGGATCAAATTTCAAAAATTTCCTTTTTCAAAATTAAGAAAAACAAAGAGGGACGGAAGAAGATTGAAGTAGAGAGTTTATCTATCGCGTAGCCGAGCTCGCAACGGCCGCAAAGTCTCCTAAATCCGAGTCTAACTCCCTCTCTCTCTCCTTTCTTCTTCCCTCTCTCTCTCTCTTATGCATTTCCTTTATTTTTCTTTTTAGTTTCTGCGTCCAGTTTGCCTTTAAAATGCTGAGCTAAAAGTTTGAGGAAAATTACAAGAAAGGGCCCAACATTTTTTATTATAGCACAAAAGCTCGGGTCAACTTTGATAATTTTTTCCATAGTAAAAAATCAAACAAAACCAAACTTTTGATGAGAAAAATTCAAACTCTATACCTCTATCAAATTATTTTAAATTTTAATTTAATTATAGATATTTTATTTTATTTTTTAAAATAAATTTGAGTCTTAAAATTTTTGGGATGTTACAGTAAACATCCTATCATAGTAAAAAGAAAACAATTATTGATATTTAAGATCTACTATAGTAGAAAAGAATTGAACCAATAGTAAAATAACTACTTTGGAAGAAAAGAATGAAAGCAAATTTAATATGTTAAAACCAATATGAAAACAGAATCCTAAAATCAAAAAATAAATCGTAAGATTCATTTCAAATACCTTAAAATAAGAGTAAAATAGATTTCTGCCATAGCCAAGGTGTCATATGCCACAGCACATGATGCAAAATCATGTGACATCATTTGAAGTTAAACTTTTGGCATGCACAACTTCTCAATTTGATATCCAATTGAGGTGATTTAAGCACCCATGAAAAACTCTTTTCAAGAACTTGCTAATGATTTTGGTTTCAACTCAATATGATCTTATATTGAGAATTTGAAAACTTGAGTCCATTTCTACTCTTTTCACACTTTCAAATATTAGCACGATGCCAAAAACTCCAACCACAAGCCATTAGCCACAATTGGGCTTTGAACCACACTCAATGGACATTATTTAAGCATCATGAAAAAAAAAGCCAAATGCATTAAAATAATTACATTAGCCAAAAATGACAACCCAAAAACCACAACTTAAGGGTGGAAACAATATTATTTCTAACTACAATGCCATATCATAATTAATCAACAAGCTTGAAATCATAATTTAGTACTTTAAAACATACTTGCATAAGTAATTTGTCCTTCCCAAAGTCAAATTGGCACAAACTCCCATAATGACCAAAATACACCTTAAATATCATTTCATACATGTCTACATGCAAGTGAATCATAAACTAAGTCCCAGTTGGAAAATATAAAAACTCATTACACAAGATAATTGGCTATAGGCATTACTAAATCTTAATAATCAAATAACTAAACTTAGTCACATGCAAGCAATAACATTCCAAATCACTCAAGTATGTTATAAAAATAATATATATCTATATATATCAATGCATGATCAACACATCATTCTTAATGAATCTATAGGCCAATAATACAAACAGGACTAGCCCATAATGACTAGACTGGCCCAAGCTCTTGTTACTTACACTCAGTCTCAAACAATGAATTCTCCCATTTACCGAATCTAAGGAATCTAAAGAGTGTCATATGCCTAACCCACACTAGTCCCCATAGGAAACCAATGATATAAGGTGATGCTTGATTAATGCCACTTCTTGAATAAGAATGAAAATATAATGCAATACACTAAACACTCAGGCCACTTTCAATGTCGGTACTATTATGTGGATTTATCTGTTCCCCTAGAGTGTCGTGTACATATGCTTGATTCAAGATCTATATTCAAATAAATATTTCATGTCAACATATCACATTTAAAGATCCACTTTACATTATTTTCTAAACCATAAGTTATCATATAAACATACTAATTGCAATTTTGCAATTCTCACAAATATATCAAACATGCATAGAGATAAAATTAGGTTCGAATTACCTCAACCTTTCATTTTATTAAGTTTTACTTGTAGCAACCAAACAACTTAGCTTCCTCTTAGCTCAATAGTTCCATTACAAGCTTAAACTATATTTCAACACAATTCCACCATCAATAATTAATTTCAATGAATTCTCCCCAATTAAATTACTAACCCAAAATTCTCAAAATTCATTATCTTACACAATTAATTCTATTTCTAGCATTAGTAGTTCATTTAACCCCTCATTAAAATAAATATCCCTCTTGGACTTCCATATTATCCTCATATTACCCATTCACAATTAGGGTTTGGTCCATTTAAAACCAATTTAATTAGTGAAAACCAATCCCATTTCAAATTCAAGTATAAACTATCAAGAAAATCGGGTATAAATGTAGAGGGAAGAATTTTGGAGCTTACCCAAGAGATTTCTAGCTCCAACTAGCACCAAATGGCCAAAACATTGGAGCCCTAGCACACCCCAATTGCCACCCTCATACTCTCTCATTACTTCCATTTTTTGACCATTTGAACTAATATGGTTATATAAGATTTTGAGCATTCATTGGGTGGATTGTGCCATACACTGTGGTGGATGACATAGTGATCTTCGATCAAATTTAGGCTCATATATTTGAATCTATTTGGCCCAATACAATATCTAGCCCAAATCAAAACCTATCCAAAGACCCATTAAGCCCAATAGTCATCCATTGATAATTCTCTACCACAATTAACCCTCAAATTACCAATTTACCCTTAATTTCATTAATTAATGCTAGGTTAATTTTTGGGATATTATACAACCTAGCTGTGGCAGCTTCGTTGCACCAATTTGAGTGTTGGGTGACAGGAGTGAATGATCGTGCACAAGGACCAATTCATTGTTCCTCTAATCTGTTTGCTTTAATTAATTAAGGGCATTTTGGTCATTTGTTGCTTTTATTTTACACCACTAAAGGACCTAATTTTGGAATATCTCCCAAGGACTCATGGGCAATTAAATTGGTGGTAAGGTATTTTTTAGCAACTTTCTCAATAAGCAATTTTAGTATGTCATCCATAACAATGAATGGTGCCTGAAAACACAAAAAGGGACAAACTAAGTTTTGTTTTATCACGCTTAGCCCATCACAAAATAAACAAACAAAGTAAATTACAAAGATTTTGTTTTGTTTGTACATGTGTCCTTCTATTAAAGACAATCATATTCAAAGTACAATTAGAAACTAAATATGAGTATATCTCTTAGTTAGAATTTAAATTTAAATTTATTATGTTATGAGAGATTATGCTATTTTGCTATACTCCTGCTGGTAATACAAAGAAATAGACACATTACATTCTTGGACACTAAAGGGCGCCAGTTTTTGGGCTCTAAGACAAGTCATTCATGCTCCGTAAACCATGCACTCATATATCCCATGGCCCACTTGAATGGCTCTTCACCTTCTATCTCTTCGATTTGGATTTGGAAGCCAATCTCCTTGAATACAAATATATATATATATATATATATATTAATTTTTACTTGCAAGGTTGTTAAGATGATATTGTAAATGAATTTGAAGTTAAATAAAGAATAACACAAGGTTCGTAAGATGAAATTGTATCATCTTATCGAAATGTTAAAAAATAATTTTCAATGGTTTAGTTTTCGTTTTGAAAAAGATTTGTCATTAATTAGTATTTTTGTAGTATTTTTTTATATGTCCAAAAGTTCAGTGAATACACATCTTTAACCTAATAACTTATCGAAGAATTTAAAATTTTAAAATTATTTTATCTAATTAACATATTATAAATTAAAATTTAATTTTTTTTTAAAATTACTGTTCAAAACTCTAGCTGGAAAAACTTGTCCTTACACCCTTAAAATAATTTTAAAATTGAAGTGTCCAAAAAGAATTTTAAAATTGAAGAATGAGAGTGTATGCAAACGAATGAATATAATGAACATATCAATATATAATATAAAATTTATAGAAAGTCATACTATTTATATCTGGCCAAAAAAAATGTCATACTATATATAGGTTACTTATTTAAAGCTTGTGTATTACGTGGAATAATATGTTTAGTAAACTCTGAAGAAGTGAAGTACATACAGGGTCGTAATTTTCTCTACATATTGAAGCTTCTTAATTTGTTAATATATATATATATATATATAGTAACAAATATATGTGCTATCTGATGTTGCATTTAAATTAGAGCTTGTTCTATTAGCTGGCAATGATTTATGAATTACAATTCAAAATTAGAAATTAAAATACAGACATCATTATTACTGAGGAAAACACACCTGCTTTTATGCTTGACTCGTTCTTTGTCTATATATAGCAAATTCTTTGTCTGTACATAGACTATAAACAATAATCATTGGACCCCAAAATGACTTGTTTTTTACACTAACCGTTATTAATTAATTCCCCAATTATTTTGTGTTATTTAATTATCTGTACAGTGACTGTATATATGGGTTTAGTATTTACAGAAAGGCGTAGCTACATGCTTTTTAACTTAAGTACTAGGTTGTGTTATGTGTAGTATAGTACAGGCTTGCATGTAACTTTTATAACTATGTTAGCCTTTTTGGTAGGATCAAGACTCAAGACCGCAATTCATGACTGAAGCATTTAATTAACAACTATTATTAATTTATTATAATAATGATCATCATCGTCTAGTACAGTCTTACTAACTTTTTCCCCCAAAAAAAGAGAAACAAAAATAAAAAAGAAGAGGGGCATTAGAAAATTGTACAGACCATAACTGGGAATTGGGAATCACGTGAAGCTTTTAAGACAAAACCCCCGACCAAGTGATTAGTTAATTAAACCCAAAAACTTCAATTTCGAGAGAGAACCATTGAAGAGAGAGAAAGAACTTTGAATAATTCAGTCAAAATATCATAATTTTGAAGGGGTTAAAAAAAAGGAAAAAAAATTATAGGTAGTAGCAGTAGTAGGGTTTTCTTCTGGCTTTTCTCTTTCGTTCTTTTTCTTCTTTTTTTTTTTTTTTTCTTTGGAGGTTTCTGGATGATGGATTATCTAACAGAGAGGAGATCTATGGGGGACGCCTTTTCTTCTACTGAAGCTTGTAGCCATGTCTTCGTCTGAAACCTTATTATTAGCCGCCATGAGCCTCGCACACACGTTCCAGCCACTTCTCTTCTTCCTCACGATCTCAGTGCAGGCCATGGCGCTCACGGCGTTGTTGTTGTCTGAACCAGACGACGCGGACGTGCACGAGCTCATCATCGGCTCATCGCCGTCCACGATGCTCGAACGCGCAGTCTCGTTCGTCATCATGTCCTCGTCCCCTCCCATCCAAGACAATTCTTGTGGCATCAGAAAATCTGGACTCAGCTGTAACGAGTTACACGTCCTCAAGTATGGTGACAGATCCTTGTAATGTTTCAGCACAAAATCCACCTGTACATACATACATGCATACATATAGATATAGATATATATATAATCAATATCAATTTTTACACACACACACACACACACACTTGTAGTGTCTCACTTTTAAGTTAAACAAGCTGAATTCCGCTAGGTTTGAATTGTTCGTTTCATCAAAGATATTATGCGCTATATATACCCAGAATTCAGAATTGTGCTAAAAGACATAACAGGATCATTAATGGGGCTTGACGACAAACCTTAGTTTTCGAAAAATTAGTGTTTAAGAAGGGTTTGATTATACAGATATGTATATAACAGACAAATTATATAGATTTGAAGTATAATCTGACTTGAAGTGTGATGTCTTTGAAGTATTAGACCTAGCCCCAAAGTACTGTTATCAATTAATTAACTGAAAAACCCAAACTGGAATTCATAATTTGGGTTATTGAATGAGAGAATTGTGTAAAAATTTGTACCTTACAACCCAGAGAACAATGAATGAAAGGTTCTTGGAGGCTTCTATCACAGGAAGTGCAGTAATTTCCTGAGCCCTTGAATTGCCTGTTTTGAGGTCTTTTCTTGATGAACACCACCTTAGCACTATTGATGGTGTAGGCCTATATATAGAGAGACAGACAGACAGACAGACACACACACACACACACAAAATCCACATCAGATTATTACAGATGAAATTACAGAAGGTGAAGTTATAATTGAATTATAGGTATATAGAGAAGAAGATAAACCTGAACATTGGAGCAATCAATGAGTTTCTGAAGATCTTCCAATCTGACAACGTCATGATAAACATAACGACGAACTTGAAGAAGCCTGTGAAAGCGATGAGAAGGCAAACAGTGAGGGCAAATGCTGGTGCAGCAATCCAAACAGCAAATGTTCTTCTCATTCTTCTTTGAGTTTTCATGATATGAACATCCCACAAAGAACTTCTGTGTATAGAGAGCTTCCAACCAAGCTGGCTTCTGATATCCCTAAACACATCATCATCATCATCATCATCAGCAAAACACAGAACCATTAACTTAATCTGATAAGATAGAATCTGCAGCTAGCAGAGAGATCAGAAGAAGAAGAAAGAGAGGGCAATAATTCAAACCATGATCGTGCAGTGGAATAAAGCTTCTTCTTGAGGATGAATGAATCAACAACACGGTGCAGAAAGAAAGCAAGAGAGAGTATTTATGGAGGTTCACAAGAGAAGGAAGATATATATTTATTCCTTGAATCGGTAGACAACAATTTGTCTGTAATATTACGAGAGAGAGAGAGAGAGAGAGAGAGAGAGAGAGAGCAATAAAGAAAGAGAAAGTAAGATAGTAGAGGAGGAACGTGGGCGCTGTTCCCGTGTTTCCCATTCTATAAGGCCTCACAATCACAGTACTCTTAAACTATTCTCTGCTCATCTTCTTGGCTTGAGAGCTTTACATTGCTAATAAACTAAACTAATCCCTCCTTGGACAAGCTGCGCTCAATATTTTAATTTTTTAAATTAAAATACAATGACTTCTGCTTTATTTTATGAAAATTACATAAACCTTCCCTATATTTTTGAAGACATACACTTTAATTCAATTCTTAATTAGGAATATTTCGTTAAAGATTCTAAAATAATTAATTTTTTTATTTCTGATTATGTTGAAATTTTTACAATTACTAATTTAATTTTTCCTTATAATCGAAATTGTATTTTAAAAATATTTTTAAAAATCAATAAAATTTAAATAAAATGAAAATAAATTATATTGACTAATTCATCTCTTACTGTATTAAATCCTTATTTCATTTCATTTTCGTTACAAGTATGTTTGAAATATTGGTTTTTAACCAATAATATATTTAATTTTTTTAAAAAATAACATTTTCAGGTAAAAAATGTAATATGAATATATAAAAAAGTAAAAGCATATATGCATTATTTTTTTTTTACCTTTAATTATTTTTAGATAACATTATGTTTAAAGAAGGGTATGGTGGATGAACATGGATAAAATTTTAAAAGTGGAATGAAGGTTTGTATTTTGTGACTATTGATCCTATGCATGGGAGGTTCGCATATGTTTTAAAAATATAAGGGAGATATCTATGATTGAGGTAAAATAGAAGAGAGATCTTGTATTTTACTCTTTACACACACACACACATATTAGAATCGCCTCCCCACTTGATTTTGGTCTTTGAATTGCAAAGCCACAGATATTTCTTTATTTTACTTGTACGGCTTCTTCCATTTTTCTATTCTTATTGGTAATAAGAAAAATTTAAGCTTCCTTGGCTTGGGTGCTTTTCTGAATTCTGATACTGCTGATGCTGATGAAGCTAATTAACGAAGGAATAAATTTGTGTATAAAAGTTTAATTTGTGATAATGGACTTTGTATGTTATATGGTGTAAGTGGAATCAAATCATCTGTATGGCTTTTTCTTATTATTTGAAGAAGTCGGCTTGAATTATTATTTCTAAGCTGAATTTTAAAAAATAATTAAATTGAAAAGTGAGATCAGAAAGAAAAGGTTATGAGGCAGTTTGGGTGAGAAAGCACAACACAATTTTAGTCACTTCCTTTAGTTTATATATATATATATATGATGCGTTTCTGAAGATATCTGAAAATCTCAGTTTGTGCTGTTAATAATAAGAATAATATAAATGTGAGACTTCAAAGCGAAGTAATTAAACATCAAGAGCATAATATATACATATAGAGAGAGAGAGAGAGAGAGAGAGAGAGAGAGAGGTGTAAAGCACTGGGAAAAAAAATTACCCACTTGGCCAGAACATAGCTAGCTAGAAGTTACAATGATTATTCCAGTTTCACATTTTGACTGTCATGCATGAAGTTAAAATTTTCAAATTAGGATATTTAAACCCCAAAGGGTCGGTCTGTTGGAATTTTAAAATGTAATAATTATATAAAAATTATATTCATATGAAAGGAGAATGAGCGAAAACGGATGTACTTTTTTTTATTATTTACAGATGTTTTCCTATTAAAAATAATCATATCTAAGACATGATAGGATATTATATAAAAATAAAATATTTTAATTGTTGCATACTATTCATTAAAGTGATTGTTATTTTTTTCCTTTCCTAATAATAAATATTTTAAAAAAATAATATTTCTATGTGTGGGGGATTAAATTCGAATATTTGTTTTTTCTCTTTCAATTTTAAATTATAATATTACCATTTTGCAGTCCTGGTTTTAGGCGTTGATTGAAATGCTACTATTTTGTGAGATTATTTTGATATTGCTCTTACAAAAAATTATACTCCCTCTGTTTAAAAATATGAGACATTTTTAATCAAATCTTGACTCTCAATAAAATAGTTACTTATATTTAAACTAACATTATTTTTTATATTTATCTTTATTTAATAAAGTATTTCATCTTAAAAAAAATAAAGTTTCAATAGATGGCACTTAAAAAAAAGATAATGATTACTTTTAAAAGACTCAAATGACTTACATTTTTTAACATTTAATCCCTCAAAAAATACTTTACATATTTTAAGAATATTGACTTACTAAAATTTCACTAGTAATATTGGATCTCAAGTGACTATATAAAAGAAAAGGATCACTTTTTTTTTTAAAAAAGGTAATGATTACTTTTAAAAACTCAAAATGACTTACATTTTTTAACATTTAATCCCTCAAAAAATGCTTTACATATTTTAACAATATTGACTTACTAAAATTTCACTAGTAATATTGGATCTCAAGTAACTATATAAAAGAAAATGATATATTGCTCTCTCTCACAAATTAGTGTTAAAATTCTCATCACAACTTTATTTTAAAATATATCAAATTGAAGTTTTTCTATTGATCAACATCAAAAGCTTCTCTCCTATTAATAAATTATTTAAATTTTTCTTTATAATTATATTTCTCTAGTTTGTAAAAAAAAAGAGTGAATTCACTGGGTTTCTTCAAGATGGAAAGTATTTATATTTATATATTTTACAGTTGTTTGAAAAATCTCAATTCCTAGAAATTAATATATAACATTGATATATATGCCTAACTCAAACCTAACTAAAAAAAATGCACAAACAGAATTAATTGCATTATTTAGTTTCATTGGTGTAGATAAAATAAACAGGTTAGATGTTTAGCTTAAATTGTTATTTTATGAATCTCCTAATCTGGAAAGACATAGATGAACTTTAATTCCTTAGTTCATTTGATTGCTAATCCTGAAATAAATGAAATTAAACCAATGAAAAAACAGTGTTTCAGTGCACGAAGACAATTGGCTAGGTCTTCCTCTACAGTAAGCCTCATCATAAAGCTCGACAAACCTAAGGGATGGAAAAAGCAGCTCGACTGTGAGAATGACATTAATTCACCTAGACTTGTTTCAGCAACACACTAGAATATAATGCTGAGAATGTTCTTCCAACTTGAAACATAAATTCAAATCCATGTTTTAACACTAGCCGGTTCGGTCTAATCGAGTAGAAGGGACTCAATTCTCTTTAAACAACGTCAATAGTTCAAAAATTATAGAGAAAAAAAATTAAAAGAGCTATTACTATACTAAATTGAATGGCCTAGTAATATAACTCGAATTAGACTCGATAATACTGATTATCAGATAGTCGTATGAAAATTAAACATACATGCTTGGTTATATTGTGACATAATTATGGGAAATATCGAAGGGGACCAACCTGATCAGTTTGATTGTTACGTTTTTTTTTTTTTTTTTTGTCATATTAGAATTCTGTGGGGGGACCCCCAGAAAAAGATCGATGATCTTCAGCTAATATCATTTTCCCCCTTTTAAAATGTGTATGTACGCTATTTCACTAACAATTCTCTTTTTGATGTTGGGAAGGGTCATGGAAAGTGACACATAAAATTGGTATAAATGTTGACTCTATAGCTAGCAAGATATGTAGTTTTTATTAATAAAATTTTGTTTGGTTACTCATAGAAAAAGGAAGGAATAGGGTTCTTATTTTAGTGATATTGATATCTTTGGATACTATTTAGTAGTATATATGAAATTAATATGCACATAAGATCTTAATTAGGATCGATTTGCAAGTGTTATGAGATATATTTGCTCAAAATAAAAATACAAACGAACAAAATAAAAGATATCTAAGTCACATCAGATATGTACAAGTCCCACAAGTGATGGTTTCTGTGAACATTTTAAAGGGTGCAAGATGCCAATTTGGACTGCTCATATTAATCATTGTTATTTGCTTATTGTAAATGCTGAAATTTTTCTTTTTAAACAAGGGCAAAGATTGAAAGTGAAAAATATCCCATCTGTCCTGATAACCGATTATACAGCTTAACATTTCATCCTATTATCTAATATATATTATTTAAATTTTATTGGAAACTTATTTATAACTAAATCATAAAAATTGTGACTCATTTTATATTTCATGCAAAGTATAGGGCCTTGTATACTAGTTATATAATATGCGATACACAATAATTTTACAAATTTAAAATGTATTTATACAGTACCTGAAAAAATAAGTGATATAAGCAAAAATAAATCCTGAATAAACATTTTAAATATAAAATAAAAATGTTCATAACAAACTAAAATTAATATAAAACAAAATAAACGTATAATTTTTAAAGAATATGTTCCTTCCCTTCCCCTCCCCTTTACTTCCATATTAATATTGGATTACATTTGGATAGTTTAGATTCAGTATTTCATTTATATATAAGAAGTCAGAGAAAAGTAGAGAGAGTATGATCAATAGAGATATATATATATATAATGTGCACATCTTATAATTATATCCATTTTCTTCCTTGTTTCCCCATAACTCTTAAAACGTTGCCTTTTACATCGACAAAAATACATTCAATTTTTAAGAAATCGAAGGATCGATGTAGACTGAGATGGAAGAACTTTTATTCCTTCTAATTAAATGATTGGAATTAATGAAATAATTGATAGTGAAAGGTACAATTATTCACACACATATCCTTACAGATCAAACATGTGGTTGGTGGTATAATGCAGTGCATATGGCAGCATCAAGTGAAAACAGAGAGAGGATGAAATTAAAGAAGACACACAGGAGAAGATCCCTTGTTTCTGGGGGGAATCAAACATTTTTATGGGAGACATTAATTCAACCAATCCACTAATTAAGCCAATCACTCACTCACTATCTCACCCTTATCTTTTTTTAATAATAATCTTAATTGTGACAAAACACTCACACACACACACACATTGTTTGACAGACGGGCACAACTCATTAAGCACTAGCC